ACTTAAACAAAAAAAAACAAAAACTGTTTATTAATTGATGGGCCCAGGCCGTCAAGTTTGCGTCAAGGAATTTCATAATTACAATTTTGCCGATTTATCACTTAATGGTTGTAGTTAATTTTACCAATAATCGTATCATGTTGTAGGTTTTTATTCAACAACAGACTTCAAATTTATTAGCTGCTGCGTTTTATATGGTGGTGTAGAGACCGGAGACCATTATTACTGGAAACGAGCCATTCCACCTCAGCCCATAGGGGTGACAAAGCATCAGCATTTTGATTCTATTGAAAATAGATTAAGATCTCTTTGGGTCACATCCTTCATTTTCCATCAGGTAGGTTATGGGCTCATTTATCAGCCTTATTCTGTTAAAAAATGTTGTATTTCCCTTAATCGCCACGACTGGCACGTGGATCGATCGCAGTATAAAACGTCTCGCACTTTTGATACTGTTCCCCATCTCCGGTCTAACTGTTTTACGTCTTGCGTAGGAGATAAGGCGACTAAGGAAATCCGGCCGTTTCTATAGTCGCCTTTTCTGAACCCAACGGGATAAAAATGGATAGAGATATCTTCAACACCGCCAAAACACGTCAGAATCGTTCAGCTGCACGCACTCAGTTAAATTTCATTGCCTTTAATCAACTCATCATTGCATTAACTTGTTCCATGCAAATTGTCAAAGTACGGTAATGAAATTCTGTAAGAAATAAGTGATCGTTCAAAATCAATCGAAGCTTTCGTAGTCTTTTGTAATTTTCTTCAAAAGCAAACCCATCGTTATTTCTAAGAACTCCTTCCTGAAATTAATATCGAATGAAAAACAGTAATAAAGAAAATCTTGCTTAAAAATATTTAAACTATTACTACTGTAATGAAATTTTTCAGATCGATATCGAGCGTGGCGGCACTATACGAATAGTCGGGAAAAGTTAACTTGGTTGGGGATAGCAAATTTCCACACGTGTGCGTACTGACACGCTCACTTGTCTTCACCAACATGTAGTCGATGTATTTTGATAAACTGTACACAAGTAAAAGATAATGAAACATCCACAACAACATAACAACAGAATACTTAACGATTTTGCACAAATGTTTGCTCTAGCTAGAATTTAACTCAGGACTCGCAACGAAGTAGCCAAGTGACTAGACAAACCAACTGACATCCGACACTGAGTTATATAAAGCGTATTATTTAATAAAAGAAATGTATTTTGGAATAATTGTATATCATAATTATATTGTCGAAGCTTTTGCATACTTCAGTGTCCATTTAACCATATATTTTACTTAACTTTTACGCTTAGTTTCGTGCAGGTGCGTAGAAGAATTATTAACGTTGTAAACAATCAAATAAAGTACGGGGACATTTTAATTTACATGTGACGTACACTTTCTAAACTTGTTAAACTTATTTATGAAGTTAATTTTGATTTGAATAACCATTTAATGATACCTAAGAGCATATTTACCTTGTTTAAAATTAACACTAAAGCTGATGATTGTGTTATAATTGAAGAACATTTTATATTATTGACAAGTTTATATGACCTTTACGGAATGTGTCAGAGATTGCCAACGAAGATACCAACCAACTAAACAACGTCAAGATATAAAAATGGAACGTTGTTCCGTGTTTTAGTAGAATTAAGACTTCTTTGCAATTTTAATATGGCTGTACTGTACTATCTACACTTTGCATTCAACGCACAGCGTATCATTTTTATGACATAATATTAAGACAACGAAACGCAGACATAAAAGAGTGTAAAGTGTAAATGATTCCATTTCAAGTATTTTTAAAGATTTAATTTCCAAACTCAATGATATATAATAGTCAATTATAGTTTTTAGTTTAAAAATTCTAATTTTTTTATAGGATAAAGGTGACAAACAAGCACACAGTCAACCTGCTGGTAAGTGGATACTGTGGCCCATAGACATCTACATCTATCCTCGATTACGAATTAAACCTCCCACCCTCCCTCAATCGCGCGCACTATACCCGTTGCCGTTAATCCCAGCACTACCACCCACAGCACCACCACACTAGGCACGACACACCACTCTCGAAAATACGACACGTGTTTCGCCTCTACACGAGGCATCCTCAGGTGAAGTAGACTCTGCGGAGGCTGGCCGCTAAGTGAGCGGCGAGCCGAAACTACTGCTATTTATACTACTTGCTGACACAACCGCGTTCCAATTACGTAGCGAGCGTTTACGTCATGCAATCAATCACCGCCTGACGTACGCCGATATTTGCTATGTGAAATTAACAACAAACTATTGCGAAACGTCCGCCTACCCTACAACCACGCAACCAAACGCTGACCACCGCATCGTGAGTGTGACAAACGACCATGTTGCGAGGCTATATATCATCAAGGAGCAGACTTTAACATGTTTAAGAGAGGCGAGTTGGAAACATTTGTTTGTTCATTCAGCAGTGCAACATTACCGTTATTATATTTTAATATTTCTAACTGTTCCAGCACACACAGTCGTAGCCCTTTATTACAAGTATGTAAGACTTTAAAGGAGTGGTCATTGGCTAGTCTGTGTCCAGTGTCGAAGAGATGTTTAGTAAAATGTGATTTATCGGAATTACAATTCCTATACGCGGCTAAATGCTCTTTATAACGTGTTTCGAAGTTGCGACCAGTCTGACCCACGTAAACGGCTTGGCATTCGTCACAAACAAGTTTATAAACACCAGACTTTAGACGAGCATCTAACTTATCTCTATAATTACAGATATTCTTAAGTGAATTGTTTCTTTTGAATGCCAGGTACACGCCACTCTGTCGAAGAGTAGTAGCTATTTTTTCAGATATAGAACCTAAGTAGGTCAAACTGCCAACATATCGACGATCACTTTGAGATTTAACCGTGTACAGAGAATTGCGTACGACAAGTTTTTGTTTATTTTTTATTACATTGTCAATGTTACATACATACGTACATATAATCACGCCTCTTTCCCGTAGGTGTAGGCAGCGACCACTTGCTACGATCCTTACATACTTGTTTCGCTTCGTCCACTTTCATTATTTCCTTCATACATGCTCTATGGTTTAGGGTACTCTTGACCTGGCCTTCTTTCAAGACGTCCCTGATTTGGTCTAGAAATGTCTGCCTAGGTCTACCCCTTCCAACACTTTCATTCACACTCGTCAATCGTTCTTCATTCATTCTCTCGACATGGCCAAACCATCTCAGAATATCTTTCTCAATTTTTGTCACTACATCTTCCTTCAGACCACAACGTTTCCTTATCTCACTATTTCTTATCCTGTCACTCAGTTTAACTCCTATCATACTTCTTAATGCTCTCATCTCAACTGCATTTATTCTGCTTTCATGTTTCTTCTGCCATACCCAACTTTCACTTCCGTACATGAGTGTCGGAACCAACACCCCCTCATGCACAGCCAAACGAGCCTTGTTAGACACCTTCCGACTGCTCATAAAGGAGTGCAAAGCTCCATTCACCATGTTTCCTGCATTCACTCTTCTTTCGATATCACTCTCACACTTTCCATCTCTTGTAAAGTTTGAACCCAAATACACAAACTCTTTCACCTGTTCAATTTGTTCATCTTCAATCACGATATTGCAGTCTGTCACTGCCTCATCTTTTTCAAACACCATCACTTTCGTCTTCCTTACATTCATCTTCATTACCTTTCTAACAAAAGCTCCACTCATACAGTTACCATCTCCTGCAACTCCTCTGCCGAAGACGCAAGTAATACTTGGCCATTAGCATAGAGAAAACATTTGATGAGTAACTCATTCATTCTCAACCCACTTTCATTCTCTTTTAAATCTGTCAAACAATTGTCCATGATCAGATCAAACAGCCATGGTGACGCTACACATCCCTGTCTAACACATTTTTCGATATTAAACTATTCAGTGTATGCCCCGTTTATCCTTACACAAGCACTAGAATCCCAATAAAGAGATTGCTATGCTCGTATGAGGATACTGCTCACACCGTTCACGGACAGTGCTGACCATAATTCATGCCTTACCACTCTATCATAGGCCTTTTCTAGATCTATGAACGCGTAGTAGACTTTCTTGTTTTTAGCCAAACACATTTCGGCTATGCACCGCAAGGAAAAGACCTGATCCGTACATCCCATTCCCTTTCTAAATCCCGCTTGTGCATCCCATACTTTCTTGTCTGTTTCATTCACAACCCTTTCAATCAACACTTTCGCATACAGTTTACCGACGACGCTAAGAAGGCTTATGCCGCGGTAATTTATGCAGTCCTGCCGTGACCCTTTTCCCTTATACAATGGCACGATTACGGCTTTGCACCAGTCTCCCGGTACTCACCCATTTCGCCAGCACAGATTGAAAAGGCGGTACAGCTGACTAGCCACCAGGCCCTGTCCAGCCCTCAGCATCTCGACGGTTATCCTGTCATACCCTGCAGCCTTACCTAATCTCATACTATTCAAAGCTTTCACTATTTCATCCATGCTTATCTCATTTTCATCAACATTTATATTAGTTTCCGTGGAAAGTGGCAGATGCTGTACCTGCACTTCCTCTCTTTCAAACAAACTTTCAAAATACTCTTTCCATCTCTTTAACACACATTCTCCTCCTTTTATAATGCTCCCATCTTGACTCCTGATTGTACTCAGCTCCGAGGTAGAAGTTTTTCCTCTGGCTGTTTTGATGGCTTTCCTGAAAAACTTAATGTTTGACTGGAAATCTTCAGTGTGCCTCCTATCGAAATCATGCTTTCGTCCTTCTTTCTTGAATATAAAGTATGTAAACAACAGTCATCATATATTTTTTCCGACCACAACCTGTCTCGCAGCAGTCTTGTTCCAATGAATTTCTTGATATTCTTTGAATAACCGTTAGAGACCGCAATTCGATAAATCACATTAAGCTCTTTTAAATAATTTTCTTTACTTAACGGTACAGTGAACAAACGATTAATATAACAGTAAAAAGCGGCTAATTTATGTTGCCACGGATGACATGATGACCGTGTCGGTATGAGTTGGCTTTCGATAAATTTGAAATTCATGTAACGACTCTTTCCTTGTTATTGTTAAGTCGAGGAAATTAAGGACACAATCTTGTTCTAATTCAAGCTTAAATATAAATTTGCCGTATATTTCATTAATTTTATTAAGGAAAACATCCAGTTGCCTCTTTGTGCCAGTCCAGCAAATAATTATGTCGTCTACATATCGATAATAGTATAAGATATTTTGATTGACAACTATGTGTTGTTTTTCAAAATTATCCATAAAAATGTCCGCCATAAGAGGACTTAGAGGGGAACCCATGGCTAGCCCTTCTTTTTGTAGATAGAAGTGGTTATTAAACCGGTAATAGTCTTGTTTCATACAGAAAGAGGTTAAGTTTAGAAGACCATTTGTTTCCCCGGGATGTCAACGAGGTTTATTAAAGAGATCTGCGAGTATACACAAACAGTCTGGGGATGGGACATTTGTTGAAAAGACTATCAACGTCTAAAGATAACAACATGGATTTAGGTGGAATACGGATATCTTTAATCTTGGTAATGAGATCTAAACTATTTTTAAGGCGGTAATTTGGTTTGAATTCAGATTTCTCTAGCAGAAGGAAGTTTAACTTTTGAGCAAGGAAATAAGCTGGTGCACCTATGTATGATACAACCGGACGAATAGGAACATGTTCTTTATGTATTTTAGGTAACCCATATAAAATGGGTGCTTGAGGATTCATTGGAACAAGACTGCTGCGAGACACGTTGTGGTCGGGAAAAATATATGATGACTGTTGTATACATACTTTAATATCCGAAGGAAACTTTTTGGTAGGGTCAGACTCCAAAAGCTCAAAGTCATCCCCTTGGATAACATCGTTAACCTTCTGGCTATACCCGCTATTATCCATAATAACATCAGCCCTTGTCGGCTTTAGTAACAATAAGATCAGTGTCCCTTATTCTCTGCTTTAGTGACTTAAAAACAGGGAAGTCGGATTGCAATGGTAAGAAGCGGGTACAGCCTGAATTTCTTTCGCTACCAAACTTTTAACAATGTTATCTTTCTTCCCGATCACAACAACCATCTCCGCGTCCACGGCTACAGTCTCTAGCGACTTCTGAGAGATCGAAGGTGTTAGATTATACTTTAGGCCTTTTTGTAAAAGTGACAACTCATCCGTTGGAAATTGAACGTCGGAAAGATTTTTAACTCGGGATAAAATTGATGATATTCAGTATGTATGTTGTAATTGCGCTTACGTGATGAAGAGGATACAATTTGTTATAATTTACGGGACTGAATTTGATATTTCTCGTAATCAACTATTGAAGCTAGTTCTCTGGCTTTCCGGTTCAAAGTTCAGAATATAATACTTTAAGGTGGATTTTTAAATTATCTCTATTGGAAAACCAATGACGACACAATGAAAAACATGATGCAACTTACGTTTGCGGCAGCTAGGGAGGATTGAAGGGGAAGGAGATGAACACTTTTTCCTTTATTACTTTTATTTTATAACTTACAAGTTAACTTACTGCTGTGACGATGTGAGTACACAGGGATACTAGACTAAACTAACTTATAAACTAACTTAACTACTACTGGGGCTGTCTACATAATTAGACCTTGGATTTTATACTATGTTGAATATTCTTAAGTCACGTGAAAGACGTGCTGTTATTTGCTTAGCGGGCGGTATTGTAAGGCAGGTGATGGTACTGTGTTGAATATTCTTTAGTCACGTAAGTGAATTGAGTCACATCGTGCTGTTAGTTACTTTAGAAGGCGGTGCTGTATTTTAGGTGACTTCCTGATGCCATATAAGGTTCTAGGCATAATATGTAACTTGAAAGAGAAAATTCAACTGTTTTCCATTAAGTGAATTGAAAATATGTATGGATGCAATTAAGTGTTAAAGATAATTAAGGGCTTTTGCACATTCGCATTTTATGCAAAAGCTAAACGCATCTTCATTTTAGAGTTTAATTTTACGAAAGAACCAAACTGAAACCAAAATGAAAGCTAAATGTTTTGACTTGCAACTCGGTAACTAAAATAACATTTTATAAAAAAATCTCTTCACATTTTATAACAAAGTTTCTTCTCGTTAACTCAATTTTGAATTAAAAAAAACAAAAGGAACAACAAATGGTAACATAAAGTAAACAAGCATTTGTAAACATTTCGTGATACCATCTTGCAACTTCTATATTGTCTTGTGATATGATCGTCCGATATAATACGATTCCTACTATATGTCGTCCCATATTCGTCCTTGTGAACTAGAAATAATTAATGCTCTATTCACAAATACGAACTAGGAAATATTGTGACAATATTTCATTATAATAGTCTTTGCTTAATCGTTTCAACTACTTGCTAATTCTGTATGAAAGTTATGCAAAATTATGAGCAAAACAATAAAAATTCGTAATTCATTTTTTGTTTTACAGACCAAGGAATATGCAAGAAATATCTCCGTTGCTTAAAATGATGTTGAAATCGTCAGAATATTGTTATTTAAACGTTCAGATTTTCATTAAAATTGTTTTGGAAACATTCATAAGAAAAATAATTCGTAGCAATGCTTACTATTAAACGTAAAAACAAAAACATCCGCTAATTTGTTTTTACTTACTGTCTTTTATTTTCTGTGAACTGTTGAATGTTTCAGTTATAAAAATAAAATTAAAATTTCGGATTATAAAGGACATTCAAATCGAAATCCCTACATACATCTCCCAGCAATAGTTAAAATTAACGCTACAATTTTTCTCTTCTTATTTGGTAAGCCTTTGATGAATATTTAAATTTACTTTGATAAAATCCATTGTTTTTTTTTAAATAAACTACTTTATGTATATTTCCTTAAGGCATTGGTAATTTTTTTTTATTCAGCCTTGATATGCGTTACACACTGCTATCCGATGAGCTAGACGACAGTGTGCAAATCTTCGTAAAACTCATTACCAGGCATAGTTACCACAACCGAATTGATTCCAGCGTTTTTATCGTAACCCAATGTTATTTCGTACTATCTGCTAGGACTTCCAGCTGCGAAACAGTTCTAAATATAAAAGGACTTAGTTGGCCTTATGGCCTGTACTATCCAGTCACGTGTGTGTATCACGTGTGTGTATCTACGCCCAATATACTTGGGCTCGGTGAACTAGCTGCAGACACAGTGATTAACCATCTCAATATTTTTCCTAAACAATTGCCTTCGAGTCGGTATGTGAAAGCAATTCTAACTTATTGGGCTGCGGTCAGTTAAATTATCCTTATTCTGGTACACCGGTTTAGAACGAGTTAGGATCAACGACTATCTGTAAAATGTAAGTATTCTATATGTAAGCCTTGCGGTCCATCAAGAATTCCTTATTTGTAAGTACCCATTCTACCTACTTTTCCCCTAACTATAACTTCAATACGCAGGTAGGATGGGTATACTGCACCACTTCAAGGCAAAACATTAAAAAAACACCCATTTAATTTTATTTGAATCTAAAAACTCGTGTTATATGTACATACTTATATTGTCAGAAGAGAATATTTTACGGAAATAAAACAGTATTATATCTCTACCTTTTTTATTAATCGATACCGACATTTATACTTGCGTTTAAAAGTTCGATGAAGGATAAGGATGTCGATAAAGCGTAATATCAAAGGACGTATTAATATCTGTTCCATTTATTACAAATGGTAATATCATCTTAAAACTGTCAATGTTTAAATATCTATGTCATTAACGTGAAATAACGATAAAGAAATGAAAACAACCTAACAAAATACAATAATAATAACAGAAACAGGTCTTTAAAGCACTGCGCTAATGAATGGTTCTAATACTGGTGTTTTTACTTGGCACGCAATTTATTTTTGGATTATTTTAGCCTACATGGGTCAGGAGATATACGAGTATATCGTTCTCTTTACAAAACTGTGAAGTTTCAGTACGTGGACACATCGTAACTTATTATATGCAGGCTGTGGCACCGACAAATAAATTTTTCTTTAAGCCATCACAGCTAATGTTATTAACTATTGTTCAATACATACTCTGTGTATATACTTCATGCCGTACCCTGGTAAATTAGGGACTGAGTGCTCGCTATGATTACACAGTACACTACGTAGTACGAGTATAGTACAGTGCGGGTTTGAATACCTACAGTATTCAAACCCGCACTGTACTATACTCGTACTATGTATATTCATATTTATTATTATATATGTTAAAATTTTATTTTTATATACTCATTGTAATATGAATAAAGTTGTCTAGCATAAAATAATCCGGGAATTATTATATAGGTAAGATTTATAAAATATTATATTTATATGTAATAAGATGAATTTAAAGAATTCAAATATCATATAGAATATTTGAAACGTTGCGGTGATTATTAAGACAACATTCACTCAGTTGAAGACTATATAGCTTGGACAAGCTTTGCCGAACTGAATTCGTAATGCTTGCCGACATAAAATCTTTGCTGGAGGAAAAATATAAAGGATATCAACTCATAATAGTAAAGCGTATTTAAAGAATAAATACACTCTTTCAATCTGGTATAAGTACTTTTATAAACTGCAGATAATAGAGCCACTTGTAGCTTGATTGAAATTCAGCTGACTATATTTTCAATTTATATCGTTCTTGAAATTGATTTGAGCAATATATCCTTACACGCTGGCAGCTACTCTGTATTTATTGCATTAACGTCATGTCATAATAGTCATAGTGCGTGGCTACTGTGTCCATCTTGGGTTCTTTACTCAGCTGAAGCCAAACTTGTGAAGAAACACAAATCGTATGTTTTCTCCCCACAATGGATCGTACCACAGTATTGCTAAATTTCTCTGTACAACCGAATAAAAATTATCATTATCATGCACTTCTACAGATTAAGCATTAGACAACTACGTGCATATCAATCGGCCTACATATAATTACAGCTTGATAACGCTTGTGACTACATGGACACTTTCCTTGAAGCCTTACGGTTAAGCACATAGCTATTAAACTGTTCATCAGTTGTTAACTTTTCTTACTAAATATTTTGTTCAAGGACAGACGAGGACATGCTTTTAAAATTATAAGAAAGTAACATCTTATTTGAAATCATGATTGTGGTGCAACACGACTGTGTCGGCTCGACCGGGGGTAGGTCTCATAGAATACTATTGTGAAACAGTAGAATAATGCTGTTGTGTTTCGTATGGTGAGTGTAGAAAACCGAAGGCCATTTTTGACTAGCAGCGAGCAACGCAACGTGCATTTTAATTCTTAATCGTGGATAAATGTGGATGGTCTGTGTGCTTTGGTTAGTGGACTGTGTACTTGTTTGTTACACTTATTTCAACTCAATTCATTAAAACTGTATTTTTTGGTCATTTAATATGTATTTCAAGTTACATTTACTCCTTCCAACAACTCCAACATAAAATGGACGTTGATATATGTGGGTATCTACAAGCCACAGTGGCATTCTCATCAAGTGAATGGTGTTTTTTAAAGCATAAGAGTAAAAAATTTACACATAGTCTAGTATTCGTAGTTGCGTGATTACACCTGAGTCAGTAAAAATGGTTTGCGAGTCTATTCACCAATCATAGGAAGAGCTGCCAAGGAGCAATCGGCCGAAAAGCTGAGAGCTATATCCAAGATATCAGTAACGATTGGATCGGCTAGGCAAGAGTAGGGCCATATTCTTACGAATCAACTATGCACCTAGTATCCAGGCTAGCACTATGCTTACCTCTTTGATATAGCAGTAAAGTGCATCTTTAATTTATAATATTGTGGGAATACCTGATGCTTTTAATAAATTGAAGTTCTTCTCAATAGTATAATGTTACCAGTATAAAGACCGACAAAACTTTTCCATTTATGTCGTTTCT